TGTTCCAGGCCAGGTTGGATGGGGCTTGGAGCAACCTGGGCTGGTGGGAGATGTCCCTGCCCATGGCAGGGGGTGGCACTGGATGATCTTTAAGGTCCCGCAAACCCAAACCAGTCTGGGATTCTGTGGTTTCTGACCTCTTGTTGCTCCCAACACACAGCCTGTCTATAATGAGGCTTTGGACACCTGCTCCACTCAGAAGTGAGGAATGCACATACCACATCACCATATCAAACTGTCCCACAGGGACAGCAGGCAGCATTGTCTGACTTTCCAGATTTAAAAATGTTCTCTATCCTCCTTATTTCTCTGTGTCCTTCCAGGCATAGGCAATCTTCCACAGGCAGCCAAGTACCTCTCCGAGGCGCAGTGGATCGTCCTGCAGACTCCAGACTGCAGTGCTGCTATGCAGTCCAAGTTACAGCGTGGGCTGGGGCTTTTCTGTGCTGCTGAAGGGAACTTTGACCAGGCTATGTACCATCTGGCCAGTGATGTAAGTCTCCTGAAATACAGGAACACTTAGATTCTTCCTTCCCTGCTTCCAGAGGGATATGGGAGCCCCAGCAGGCAGGTTTGGAATCCTGAGAGGGTACATGACACAAACACCTCAGCTGGACAGACCTAAGGCACCTGTGTACCCATGTGTGAGCCACAGCTGAATTTTACCAGTTATCCCTAGTCCCATGAACTGACATGGAATCATGGAATCACTAAGGCTGGAAAAGCCCTTTGAGGTCATCAACACCAACCACTAACACAGCACTTTCAGGGCCACCACTAAATTGTGTTCCCCCAATGCCAAATCCACATATTTTTTTAACACCTCCAGGGATAGTGACTCCAGCAATGCCTTGAGTAGCCTGTGCTAGTGCCTGACCACCCCTTCCATAAAGGAATTTTCCCTAATATCCAATCTAACCCTCCCCTGGCACAACGTGAGGCTGTTCCCTCTTGTCCTATCCCTTGTTCTCTGGGAGCAGAGTCCAACCCCCACCTGGCTGCACCTCCTGGCAGGGAGTTGTAGAGAGTGAGAAGGTCCTTCTAAGGCTCCTTTTCTCCAGGCTGGGCCCCTCCAGCTCCCTCAGCTGCTCCTCACATGCTCCTCACATTCCTTGTCTTTACTGCTTCTTCCCATAAATGTCTCCATCAG